ATTACAGTTTTATATCTTTATGTTTGAAGCCTGAAATGTGGCAAAAGGTCGCAAAGTTCAAGGGGGCCGAATACTTTCGCAAGGCACTGTAAGTCTAACTTCTTCCTACTCCGTTCAAGCATGTACTAGGTATAAGTAAATTGATATTGGATTATTATTGTTGGATATGTGTGAAATTACATGTGTTGACATATCAACTGTTTTACATGCTTGAATGAATAAATCAAATCAAATTAAAAAAAAAAAATCAAAAGGTGAACATTACATTCATGCATGTGACAGGACATAAAAGCTAGCCACCTGCTTAAAAGCCTGACATGAAGCACAGCCGTCCACTCCCCCGTTTCTGCCTTCTAACATAAAGTGCACACACCTTCCTGCACTGCCATTAAATGTTGGCGTTCTATGGCACGATGAGAGGTGGAATCCCATAATTTGAACTTAATTCCAAGGAATGGAGGGCTGGCCAGCTGCTGCAGAGCACATTAAAGACAACATTCACCTTGTGCAGTTAAGAGAATACATTATATGAAATTATTCATTTCCTTAGGCATTATCCCTCAAGGTGCCATCACTTTTCTCTCGTTCTGCCTTTTTACTTTACTGTGATTAATCCAAATAAAGATGTAATACGCTAAAGGTGAATGGGTGTGGAGGAAGTTAACACAGGAGGAAAGGCTGTGGTTACTCTTAAAAAAGGTGTTTATGGGAACTTCAGGTTTCTGAACATTATTCTTTCCACAGGTCCTCAGAGCAAGCTGCTCTCTAACCATTTCATTACCCTCTTTTCCTGATCTTTATTTACTGTAACTAGTTCTTGTTTCCTCTCCTGCTTTCCTTCTCTCTTCCTGTCTTTCTTTCTGTCCCCTCCCTCCCCGGTTTTCAACCTTTTGGCATCTCTTAGATTCGGATAAACAGGGAAGTAAGTACCTTGCCTCTCTTCTCTTTCCATATCCTCTCCCTTTTCACACTGCCCCCTCTCGCTGCCCCTGCCAACTCTCCATGGCTTCCCTCCAACAGCAGACCTTCCTTCCCTTTTCTGCTCTGAACTGCTGAGCCTTTCTGCCTCTATCCATCACTTTTTCCTAGACTGACTGCAACAGTCGCCCTGTCTTCTTTCATCCATAGTCACATGCTCACCCAGTGCTCTTGCTTAACATCAGGCTGTCCTATAAAAGACTGATAGTATGCCACAGTGGAGAGAGGATGAGGTCAGATCAAAGCTAGCATACACACTGTTGACACAGCAGGCATCGTAAATATATTCAATGACAGTGAGCTGGGAAAAACAAACGCTGAGTGCATGCAAGAGCAGGAATTATTTTAGAGATAGCTTACAAAAGTTCTACCTAGTATCACTCTGTTTCAATACAGGAGGTTCACCAGTGTCAGCGGCCATATTTATCAAGCATCTCAGGTGTCATATGACATGTTTCAAGAAGTGTGAACATGCTGGAAGTTAAAGTATTAATTCAAATTGACAAAACACATAATCAAAGATAATGAGTGGATCAAATCATCTTCCATCCTGTAGAGGCTTGTAGGGGCCTGGAGCCAATGGTAAAATCATCTTGTGACAGCTTTTTTCTGGAATGTACAGAAATTGCTCCACATAAATAACTTGATAATTTGATAACTTGATAGCAGTGATAATTGAGGCCCATCAGAATCAAAACAGCAGTTGTGGGTAGTTTTTAAAAGACACAGCTATAATTTGTGTATTTTGTAGCTTTTGTTGGGTTTGGCAGCATTTGTTCTTAAGTAGCTTTTACACCCACCAACAATACTTTCTGTGTCTTATTTTGTGTTCCAGCTGATTTTCAAATGTAGGCTGTAAGTTATATGACTTTGTTTAAAGCATTAACTAGAACTGAGATAGCTCTAGATATCGCAAAACACTGATATAATTCATTCTCAAAGGAGGAAGCTTTTTGTGTCTTAAAGCTTCAGCAGGCTTCATGCAACTGATGAGATGCGTGATAAAAAGTTCATTTTCATTAACTTCACACTGGTTGAAGTTAGAGTGAGACACATTTGTCATGGCCAATGTGACAGAACTAGTTAGTTTCCCATGTTTCAAAAGACTCTGCATGTTTTATTATTGTTTTTCTTCCCAAGCCAATGTGAACTCACACTGCTTAATGTTGTTCGGCTTACCTGCTGTTGAAAAATCCTGTTGCCAAGGTGACAAACAGGAAACTGGCTGGCCAAGGGAAACTCAGCAACAGAGGCTCGTGGGAATGAGGGTCTCTGTACTCATTCATAGTGATGGTCATCCATCTCAACTTCCTTTTGTGGCATTACAGTTACAGAATGTAATCTGTGTGGTTTCCTGGCTGGATAATGTATACATGCATATCATTGTGTGTGTGTGAGTGTGTGCACGGTGGGGGCAGGGCTCGGAGGGACTGTACAGTATTGTACAAATGTTTAGCATATCACTTTACCTATGAGTGATGAAAGGCCAAACTAATCTTAATTCCAGGATCCATCGTGCTCGGCTGCTTTGCATTCAGCACAAAGGGTTTGGCCAGGACACCACTAATAGCCTTCCAGACTGCGCATGCTGTTTCATAACTGCACTAATGCCAAGCTGAGCAGAAAGGAGACAGCCAGATCAGCCAGTGTCACTCAGGTAGAATTACTCCCAGAGCTGTAGATCCTTCACTTGTCAATCTACCTTTGATCAGCAGCCGTGGCTGCATGCAAAGCACTGCACACTGGGCAGCCTTTGAAAAGCAGCTCCCTCGCTCTCCGTGTAATGACCTGGCTCCGAGACGGGCAGAGAAAAACTTGAATTAATGCCATTTCTCAAGTCCCATCCTTCACCCAAAGTTGGAGCCTAAACAGTCCAAAGAATTTGCTCTGTCAAACATGATAATGTATTTTAAGCAGAGCGCCATCAGCTGATAGCACGGCGCAGATTCGTTTTCTTCAGTCAAAAGCAGAGCAGAAATTTAGCTGTGTGCTGACATCAGACTCAGCTCTGACATGAATAAGGGATGCCTTGAAGCTGAAAATGGAGAAAGAGAATGGATGGGAGGGGTGGAATGAGACTTTGAGGTCATCATGTGCTTGTGTAATTATTAACTCTCTCATATCTTTTCCTTTCTTTTCTGTACTCTCTTACTTGCTCTCTGTCACACAGGGTTACCAGCGATCGAACCACTTTATCGCCACCCAAGGTGAGTGTGAACCGCCCGGCTGCAGTGTTTGCCTACTAATATTTGTTTGTTTGTGATGTTCTTTACACAGGAACCCAACTGACAATATTAAAATGAGTTTACTGAATTATTAATGTGTAAACAACAAGTGTTGCATCATGCTCACATCTGTATTTCCCCCATAAAGCTTCACTTTCCTCCACCTGTGAGAAATGCTCCCATAGCAGACTGTAACTGTCAGTCTGCACTGTAACACTGCCGATTGCCGCTCTCTGTGAAGTGCTGCCTTTGTGTCTCTCCTCCCCGCCATCTGCATGTGTGGTGCACCATCTCTCTGATGTCGGTTTGATATGCTATATAGGCTGCATTCCCCAAGAGACACACACACATTTGAGAGACAGACAAACAGAGAAGAAGAGAAAGAGACTGAGAGAGCAAGGCATTCTCTTTATTCTTTCCCAGCTCTGATCCTATTTATTCAGTAAATACATGTATGTTTTTCATTTTCTTCCTCTGATTCCTTTCTGTATTTCACTTTGGTCTCAGTCCTACTACATCACAGAAGTAGCCTCAGGAAATGTCACTCCATCTCTTGGTGGTATTTGACTTATGGCGGAAATAAAGTTACTGAAGAATCAAACAAAATTTTAAATTCATAAAGATGAATAGTGCTGATTGTTTGAATTCAAAAACAAAGCTGAAATGATGGGTAAAAGACCCAGGATGTAAAACAATCAATCAGTACGGTCTGTTACAGTCGCCAAAATGGCTGCAGCTCATTACATCCACCCATACACACCGACTGTCTCACACACAAACTGCTTCATTAAAGTTTGCCCCTCTCAGTCTGCATATACTGAACAACACTACATATACAGGCACTAAGGCCCAGGTGGTCGGCTGTCACGGCAGGTTGAGGTTGATGTGTTGTATCTTAGATGAGTCTTAAGTCAGCTGTGCTTCTGCAGCAGGCAGCAGGTGCTTCGGGCTAACTCTCTATTATGTCCAGAGATGAGGCAGCGGGAGGAGGAGGTGGGAGTTGGGGAGGCGGACGGGGAGGAGAAATGCCAAGCGCACTCTGAAAGCCCAAGTCCAAAGCGGCAGCATGTTGCGCTTTGCATACAGATACACCCAGGTGCAGGGATCACACGTCAGCTGTCTCTCGACTGACTGCTGTGTCCCTCCAGCGATGCCTCAGTGGGCTTCTCCTGCTGCTGCAGAAAAATTTACATTTCATATTATTAATACACAGAAACAGGCAGAGTGATTGCTAACAGAGCAGATGTGAATAACCTTGTGGAGAGGAGGACAAACAGTGAATAGAGTAGATGCCCATGTGGCACTGACTCTTCTCAGGTCAACTATAATAAAGGGCAAGCTGTTGCAGATAGCCTGTTTTTAATGGCGACTATGAGGTTGTCTCCTCCTCCTCTTGTTGTCTATCTCAGCTTTGTAGGTCTTTCCATGTTAGAGCCGGGGTTGCATAGCCAAATGCATACCGCTTGACTCCTCTTCTTAACAACACTGTGGAAGAAGAACTAATACATACCTCACTGTATTTGTTATCTATGGAGAAAGAAAGCCTGGTATTCATTATGGGGTTCAGCTGACCTGAATGGGAGATGAAGAGAATATTGAATAAGTTTTATGTAACACTATATTTAGGTTTTCAGTGGTGTCCAGTGTTTTCTACCCTGCCTGTGGTGCCCAGGTCCAAGGCTGTTCCTTCTTATGCACATCTTAATAAAAAGCCCCCAAATATTGTAGTTTTGTTTCCTGTACAGATGCTCATTACTTTCCTAAAGTGCAGTACTTTGTGGACATTGTAATTTTTACCCAAACAGCAGTAAATAGCACGTTTGTTGGGGATTGTTTCCATTTGTGGTCAACACTGGAGCTTTATGGCACAGAGGAATAACATGAGGATTTAGATACAGAGGTAACATCTGTTAGTCAGATACAGTCACTGCTGCTTTTGGGTGTTTTGTGGTAAGTAGGTAGGGAGAGTAGATGTTTACTGGCCTTATGATTTTAAGAATCTACTCCTAGTCTATGAAGCTCCCAGTTGCTTGGCCTCAGGTTGATACAGTGTATGTATTTGGATTTGCTCCTCTGCCATCACGAAGGGATTTTAAAGTGTACTCTCCTCTTAAAAACACCATCCTGGTCAGTCACAGGAGAAAAGGCAAGACTGTCTTGCCTGGCTTCCAATTCACTTCCAGTTTAAGGCTCTAAACGGCCTGGCGCCTCAGTGATCTCACACCATGGCACACTCTAGTTGCATCTCTTAGATCATGGAGTATGGATTTACTCGAGGTGCCGAGGTCTTTGCCATCAATGCTGGAGTGATCGAACCTTTACCGTGGTGGCCTCTAAACTCTGGATTGACCCTCCTCCTAATGTAATCTGTTACAGACCTGGCTGTACTCACACCCTTGCTTAGCACTTTCTTATTTTTTAGGGCTTTTGACAACGAATGGAGTTGATACTTTTATTGATGTTGGCTTTTCTTTATTTCTGTTTGTTTTCTTCCCATTTTAAATGTTTTTTTGTGTAAAATGGTCAACAAGGTGATGTTTTACAGTGTTATATACTCATGGAATCTAAAAATGCACCACCTGTATTGTTTGTGTGTATTGTGAGTGGTGCATTTTTAAATTACAAGTATAATATAAATACATTTAGACTAGATTTGATCCTATTAATAAAAGTGTGGATAAACATGAGTAGACATCTTGTTCACTAAAAGGGGTATAGTGCATTTGGCAGAGGAGGCTGTATGAAGGAGGACCTTGTGATAGTATCCACACTACAGTGTAATGAAATCAATGAATGTGTCATCTTCTGCAGGGGCTGTGATTTGTGTTAGCCATCGATGCCTGGGAAAGGCAATGCAAGAGGTTGTTTGCACAATGGCTGAGGATTTGTGGGTGTTTTGAAATGACATTTCTCTGAAGTATTAGAAGATCACAGAGTGAGCAATAGTTCATGAGTGATACATTGTTACTCCACTCCCTGGCATGTATTATACAGTGTCTCTGTGTTGTTAGTTATTGCTGCTGTTTTCTCTGAGTTATGACTCAACTCTGTGCCCATCTTCTCCTCCTCTCTTTCTCTTTCTCCACCTATACCTTTACTGTGTATTTCCTCCTCCACAGGCCCAAAGCAGGAGATGATCTACGATTTCTGGCGGATGGTTTGGCAGGAGAACTGCTTCAGTATTGTCATGATCACTAAGCTGGTGGAAGTGGGCAGGGTAGGTTTCTCTTCCCTTTGTCCTGCGACCTATTCAGCCGCCTGTGAGGATGGATGGAGGGAATGTGTTTCTGGAGCTCCCTTTATCATTGACTGCAGCCTACATCAGAAGAGCTGCTGTGCTCATGTTGTGGGAGTGAGCACCGCTTGCTTTTGGTGGCTGTGCTTCAGGGTCAAAGCTTAGATGTCTATGAAGGTCTGTGGATGAACACTGTGACCTGTGTTCTGTTGCTTCTGCCGAATACAGTCAGCTACTGTTACTATGTTCAAAATGTGTAAGAAACAGGCATTATTCACCGACCACACTATTTATAAAATGTGATCAGTGAAGATACAGTCAGACTAAAATATTAGCAGCAGTGATTACAGAAGTGTTTGTCAAGTTAAAGGGGAGCTCCACTACTTTTACATAGAGTTCACATAAAGTACCACTACCTTGTGAAAACAGCTTGTGGCTGTGGATAGGGTTGCACCAATAATTTATAAACCCACCATTAAGTGTGTAAAGGCCTTCCTAAGTGATTAGCAAGTGTACCCTAGTAAAGACATACTAATTCAAGTTTCTGCATTAAAACCTAAGCAGTGTCTTAGAAAAGATTTTAGTAACATGTAAGTTGGTCCCTAGAAAACATCTGCAGTACAGTCCAATCAAATCAATCAACAGGAAGTCACTATAGCATTGTCAGCTGTAGCATAACTGCCAAAAACAGCGGCTTGAGGGAACCAAGCGATATACAGTATTAAACTTAACTGCTAGTTCTGTGTAATTTACTTTTTATTTTTCCTTTTTATGCATGCATACATAAAGAAATAACTGTTTCAGTTTAATAATAGTCATAGAGTTTAGTGTGAGAGGTATCTGATTGTTAACCTTTATGATGCTATTTATTCATTTAGTCTGACATTATAAACATAATGTTTGGTAATTTGTTTTGTATAGTGTATTATATTTGTGAAGTGGGACTTGAATTGTTCCCAGTTTACATCATTATTTCAGCAATGTTGAACAGCATTTTATCAAGTGTTAAAGTATGTCTACAATAGTCCATTACTTTACTTTGCATATGTACTTCTACTCACTCTGGGTCACTGGCATTAGCAAGCTAAGTGATTCATAAATCTCCTCTTAGTAAACATTTATTCCATAACTATGCTACATTTAAATGAAGAGCTAGTGCAACTGGCTCAGAATCAGGAGACCAAAAATTAAATATATCAAATGTAACTGCCAGTCTATTGTAAGAGCAATTATGACTTTGTTTTGTTTGTATGTGTTTACATTTAGAAATATCTGCATTTCAAAACTGTGCTAGTGTAGTGTTCAATGTTCATGTAGTTCAGAATGAGTGTGAAATACCCCACTGAAGGAGAGAGTGTTCCTAAGCCTGTTAAATTAGAGGTATTGATATCGTGGCCTCTGCTATGTTGATTTTTGCCCTCTGTTTTAAAGGTGCATTAATCTGAATTTTACACCCTGATAATTCAAGTGAAAATGGGACAGAACGTGGTGTCTGAGCTAAACTATGCTCTCCGTGACAGTCCTGCTGCTGATAATTAAATTGGGAGCAGTTCAAGCTTGGTGTAACTTATGCTTGTGTCACAGTAGCAGTAATCGGAGTGTTCCACTGGATTGCCAACTTTACTTATTAGTCAGCTAATGCTAGCTTTGGACTGGAGGCTGCAGTTTGTACAGTCTGTTGCAACCAGGCATCCATAGTTCACATCATAGCTTTAGGAAACAGGTCAGGAGAGGCAGGGGGGGTAAGGAATGGTTTCTGGTGTGTTTGTTTTGGCTCTTATTGGAGCCACTAGCATATGAACAGAAATTAGGTAGAACACCTTTTATCAATCTATTGTGAGTACCCCAGTTTTATGGAACGCAGTGCTAAATTTCTGGAGTAACCCTTAGCCAGGCGTATAGCATACCACCAAACACCTTAGCTTTACAGCTTTTTCCTTTCAAAAACATCTGATAACAAAAATGCAAATGGTATAACATCCCATTTTGTGAAATAGCAGACCTGCAGCGCAGCCAAGTAAATGTCAGCCAGGGTCAGAATTTAACTCAGTGAAAAATGTGAAAACAGGAAATGTAAAATTAAGTGTGACCCTTTTACATGGCAGCACAACTATCATCCCCCATATTCTACGGTATTATAGTCTTTGTCAGGCTTTATAAGAGGAGAATTTTATTATATACATATATATATACATATATTTTTGGACACTGCATCAGGGAAAAATGAAACGGCCTTTACTTAGAAAAAAATAACACCATCACTGGCTGTTAGTTTGGCTGGACAGAGTGGGAGATGCCCATAAACATCATACCAAAACATCTCCTTCTGTCATCTTATCTTAGTGTCAACACTTTTATGTGTCAGATTTGATAACTGAGGTGATTAGATAAGCTGTGGTAAAGTTCAAATATTTAGCAAAGATCACAGCAGGATTAGAGCAATGCAGTTTGTCTGCTTGTTGTCCAGTGTTGTTTATGTGTTTGAAGTTCAGCTGCTTCTTGTTTGTCCAGATGAAGTGCTGTAAGTACTGGCCTGATGACACTGAGCTCTATGGTGACATTAAGATAACGCTGCTGAAGACAGAAACGCTGGCAGAGTACACAGTGCGCACCTTCGCCATGGAGAGGGTGAGTCATACGCTCGTTATTTTTATCTCAGCTCTCTCAGTATATTCCTCATTCACATTTATATTGCCATAACTGATTGTTATTTGTATGCTCCTCTAAATGGTTCCCTTCTGATAATAATGCCAACTCATGCAATCTTCGTCCTGTAGAGAGGTTACCCTGCCAAACACGAGGTGTGCCAGTTCCACTTCACTTCCTGGCCGGAGCACGGCGTGCCCTACCATGCTACCGGCCTGCTGGCTTTCCTCCGCCGGGTCAAGGCCTCAACACCTCCTGACGCTGGGCCTGTGGTGGTCCACTGCAGGTAACTCATCACCTTTCATCCTGACTAGCTAAACAGATGTAGGGGTTTAAAAATCAGCTCAGCCTCAGTTATTCTTCTCCTTCTTTGTGTTTTTTACATTTCCCAAAATAACTACTTGGTGTTGTATATGTGTAGGTGGAGAGTAATATAGTTGTAAAAACAAAAATAAAATAAGACCATCAAACAAGATGTTGTATTTCACACATACCCAGCAAGAGGTTTACAAATGTGGACAGTTGGATTTTTGATGATACTACCTGTCTTTTTGGTGAAGGACTTGTTCTCTGTGCTGACTGTTGGACACTGATGTTAAACCACAGAAGGAGTCTTTGCTCACAGGTTTCATTTCCATTCATCTTTTTATGTACATTTTTATGGTCCTCATTTAAAAATATCTGAGTAAAAATGTCTGAAATTTGGAAAAATAAGGACATGTTGCAAACAAAAATTTCTTGACTGAGATGGCAAATGTGTCATATGAAACAGAATTGGGGGCAGAATCGGAGTATTCCATTGCAGACAAAGCACTGGTGTCATACTGCTACTCACTGTTCATTCCACCAGAAGGCCCTCTGTTTAATCAGTTTTGGTCTCCAATGATGGACAGCTTTTTTATCAATCCAGACAAACCACCCTAACTGTGCAAACATAGCAGGCCCTTACAAGCTAAGACTCGCAGCATTAAGCAGTCTTTGTGCACTTCTGTTAGTCTACACCTGAGTTTGACTGACAGCATTAATGCATTTGGACCAACTGGGCAAACACACCAGATTTCTTTTAAATTAAACAGGTTAGAAGTGATAGTCCCCTTATTCACATTTTATTTTGTCTCATTTTCAGAAATTTGGCAGAAACATGGACATCATCTAATGCAAACTCACATTTTGTGAGGAAATGATCTGAAAATGTGAACTGTAGGGAGTATGCCCATCGTTCTTGTGTGTCTAGTTTAATTATGGATTCCTTACAGTCTGAGTCAGCACCTTCATTTATTTTTAGATGTTTGAGCAACATGGCATGCCACCAAGCCAGCTAATAAATGAATTAAGTAGAAGCAATGGGTAATATGAGCATTTGTAAACAGAGAGACACTAAGGCTTTTCAACAGATGATGAGATATGTTGCTGATTTATCTTTTGTTTTACACCTGTCTGCCACTGCAAACCAGCTACAGTGTCTGTCTGGATACCAATTTTGATTAAGCATCGATCCTTTTCCATCTTATCATAAATGAAGTGCTTCTTTAACTATATTTATGCGCTACAAGGAGATTGGTTTTCTATTGATGGAAAACCAATGGAGAAATTATGAAGATATATGTTTTTTAGGCCTCAAGCATCCCAGTGCAGTCACTCAGGTAGGCTTTGAAGTAGCCGGTCCTTACCTGGAGAGGACCGAGGCATTGAAAAACACACACACACCTGCTTTATATCGGCGTGCGACCCAGACATGGAGGGCATTGGTCAGCGGGCAGGGCTTTTAACTTTCACACATCGACTTAGATTCTGTGCTCTGCCAGAACAAAATGGTCATTGTTGTCCCCTTGTTCTTTTCCAGAACCAAGCCTCTCATTATACTTTACTTTGGAGGGGAGTGTCTCAATCATCATTGAAGGGTTCAGTGGCATTTTCACTGCTGTCAATCTTTCTCCTCTCTCCTTTGCACCAGTATGGGGGCAGGCAGGACCGGCTGCTACATTGTGCTGGATGTCATGCTGGATATGGCTGAGTGTGAAGGAGTAGTGGACATCTACAACTGTGTCAAGACCCTCTGCTCCCGACGCATAAACATGATCCAGACTGAAGTGAGTGGGAGGGCAGCAATGTTGTTAGAGAGGTCATTCTGAACTGCTGATCAGAAAGTCACAGTATGAAGCTGCTGGCACGTGTATTTCACCACGATCATGTATGTCTGCGCTGGAATTTTGTTCTTTCAGGTTGGAAAATTTCTGAAACGGCATTCCAAGAGCTCAGATACTTGACTTAAAGTCAAAGTAGCAGAATCACAAGTACAATTAAAACTTACAGTATGTTTTGAAAGTCTCATATACATAGATGAATTTTGTGGAAGGGGCCTCTTGGAGGCTGAGGAACAAGCTAAAAATAGAAAATCGGTTGTAAAGTTACTGTGATGAATGCAAAGAGTTATTTATACTGTACATCCAGCATACATGGAACAACATTAGCACTCACATGTTCGGCCACCTGTTAAATAGAAGCCCAGTATTCGTTCCTCTTTTAGCTTTGTTGTGGTCTCCATCAGCTCCGGAGAAAAATATCCTAGCTACAAATTGCATGGTCCTTAAAGTTTTGCTTGTTTATTTTGTTTATTTTACCACTGAGTTATTTATGTGTGTAGCTATGTGATGTTGCAGCTGGTCCAAGCAGACCTCATTTGAACATATTTTACTGTTGTTTGAACAGTTACCTTACATAAAATATTGTTTATTAGTATATTAGCATGGGAATAGTCAACATTTTTCTTGCGTACAGTATAAATGAATGTACTTTACTTTCCGCTAACAGTGCTCCTCTACAACTCAAATGATTTAAGGGCACAGTGTTTATGGTTTGAAGGCCACTTAGTATGATACAATAAACATTCATTTAAAAATGCTATTTATGCTAAAACATTGATGTTAAATGAAGTCATGCTGGTGCGATAATTATTTCAACTTTTCATTTACTACAACAAATGCTTTGTGTAAATAGATACACAGTTGCAAAATGTATTATCTAATGTATATGTAATGTGTACTCTCAATCGTCAAATAAGCAAACCAGACAAAAACATTAATTACAAGAGTGAATAAAACTATTAAAAGTTGGGAAATAGTTAAAACTGTTCTCTTATAAATATGTTGGGACGAGGAGGCTGTACAGTGTGTATCAAACAATGGTTTTATTTCTCTTCTAATTCCATCTTTTTACCTTTCAGCTAGAGCCATCTACCAGTTGAATGCATATTTCTGCAATTACAGAAGACATTACAATGATAAATAAGTTGGAAGGGGGACAGTCTTATGTCTGATTCTGAATGTATCCTCGCTTCTTTGATCTTTTGTTGGGTTGGATGTCAAAACAAATTTCCTAGTTTTCTCGTTAATTACACGGCACACAATGTTATTCAGACACTGTGTAGGCAATGTTTGGCTCCTCTGATGTGTGTTGTCTTTTTTTACCCCATTTATAGCAATTTTCTGCTTGGAAATAATGTCTAAGTATAAGCATGGCAATGTGAAGAATGTTTGACATTTATGACTATTAGTCAACATTCAACAGCAGTAATTAAATTCAGTATTGTTCTTCACAAGTGGGCAATTAACAGTTAGGAGGCTGGTAAGTGCAGTCGGGGCTTTGTGTGACTTTGTGAATTTGTGAAAGTTTCCCCCGCTGTCTGTCTCGTAGGAGCAGTATGTGTTCATCCACGACGCCATCCTGGAGGCTTGTCTGTGTGGAGAGACTGCCATCCCTGTTAATGAGTTTGCTCTCACCTATAAGGAGATGCTGAAGGTTGACTCTCAGAGCAACACCTCACAGCTTAGAGAGGAGTTTCAGGTAAGACACACTAGCATGTGATTTGTATTTAAGTGTGTAAGCATGCATTAGCGATGGCTTTTGATTGATTACACTCATTCCCTCATCAATAATTCCAAACTCAAAGCTTAAATCAGTTTCTGTTGTTGCCCGGTAGGGTGGGAAAAAGTTTCTGTTGAAATGAAGTGTTGATCAAACCAAGCGAGCGACCAAACAAATTTGGCAGGTCATCTAGTTCAGCCACATGTTGTAGGTATGGCAGTTTACTGTACCCTTCCACACGGTGGACGGAATAGATTCACAGTTTAAACGTGTCATTATATGTTGCTGGACATAGCTAAGTAGTGAGGAGACCTAAGACCGTTTTTATCCAAACACACTAATGACATGTACACATGGCAATTTATTTTAATGAGCTGCAGAATTGATTAGCTTGTAGCTTACATGTCCCTCAAAGCCCTTTGATTGTTTCACCCTGCAAAGGCTTCTGAACCAGTTCAGTATTACTGGTGCAAATTAGCTGCTGAGCTAAGTACGCTGATGTTCTTAAAATGTCTGTTAGTAACTGTCTCTTTATTTTGACCTTTTTGCTGTCTTAGATATGTTACTTTTTCACATCCTATACAACCAATTGTGTTAAAATATTACAGCTGAAAACAAATTTTGATGTTGTGATTTCAACATGCAAAACTGCTAAAGCATGGCAGAAAACACGACTACTCTGACTGGAAGAGGCTGCTTTGGCTCTGTCAGCTAGAAATGGACAGCTCATATCAGCTCACTGACCGCAGTCCCATGAGAGGTTGTGGGTTTTCTAAACACGCTGAGCTTAGTTGGTCTTGTAAGAGAAAAATCCACTGGTTGTTAGAGACAATGGAATGAGAGTGAAGCTGCTTTTCAAATCAGTACACATAAAAATGGTTTTGTTCAACAGGAAAGTTTTAGATTGCAGCTAGGATCACGTACTGTATATGTCTGTATGGCTTGCTGTTGGCTTGTTCAGCTAATGGCAGTTTTAATGATGTTACTGATTGTGACCTTTGGCCGGGTTATATTCTCTCCTCCACACGCTGCACAATTAGCTCCCTTCAGTGCTGCTGAGTCGTCCAATCAGACAACCTCTCGTAATTGCACCTCACAGCCTGGATGCAATATTCTAGTTACAGGCTGAAGTGTTCTTCTCATTTTGTCTAAGCCAGTGGGGAGTCATTTACACTATGAAGCAAATTGCATAATCAGTTCAATTTCAATTTTTGTTGCTTTATAATAAACTTATTTATAATGTATAAGATTGCACCAAATGTGTTTTTATCCATTAAGCCTGGTGGGGGATTTGAGTGATAATAAATGTGTTTTAAAGTTTCCCGGAGATGACTGGAGATAGTTGTGCTTGTCAAGTATTAGCAGTGTGAGTGGAGAATATTTTCATTGCCTCTGTCAATCTCTCTTTGATCCCACTTCTGTTCCGCTGCGTCTGTCTCCTCTTAGCACAGTCTTTATTCTTGGTCTTTCATTTTATCTCTATATCTAAACTGTGAATGCATTCTCAAACACTGGTGCCAACATTTCTCATCATCTTTCCTGCACACTCTCATCTCTTTCACTGCCCCCCAGACTCTGAACTCGGTGACGCCTCACCTTGATGTGGAGGAGTGCAGCATTTCTCTGATGCCCAGGAACCGTGAGAAGAACCGTAGCATGGACGTGCTGCCACCGGACCGCTCCCTGGCCTTTCTCGTCACGACCGAGGGAGAAAGTGGCAACTACATCAATGCTGCGCTCGCTGACAGCTTTCTCCAGCCTGCTGCCTTTGTGGTGACACCACATCCACTGCCCGGGACCACCACTGACTTCTGGAGGCTCCTTTACGACTATGGCTGCACCTCGGTGGTGATGCTCAACCAGCTCAACCAGTCCAACTCTGCCTGGGTGAGAGGGAGGGGGTGATTATGGGCATTATGGGAGGCATTATGTTTTCGGGTTGTCCGTCCATACCTCTGTCTGTCCGTATGGCCCATTCTTGTGAACGTGATATCTCAGGAACACCTCAAGGGAATTTCTTCAAATTTGGCACAAGTGTCCACTTGGACTCAATTATAAACTAATTAGATTTTAGTGAGGTCAGAGGTCAAAGGTCAGTGATCTCACCTCTGTCTTATACACATGAATTTGACTGGTTGGTGGGGAAATAGAAATACTGCGAAGCGGTAATTCTAGCTTTTAACTTTATTTAATTAATGTAAACATATCACACAAATGAGATGGAATAACACCACCAACATGTTTTTTTGTTTTTTTTTACTGAGACTTAACTCAAAAAGTAAGGTGAGTTCTTCCACCAGAGCAGCATTTCCTCTGAGAAATGTAAAATATGTATTACCTGAAGAAGATATGGGGAATGTAGACTGCCAAGGCCAACTTCCCACCAGTTCCAAACACTGGAAGGCAAGCAGTAAGTTGAAAGCTAGTGCAAAAATACAGAAACAAAAAAGTAATTTAAAGCAGAAAGCTTCCAGCCTCTTTCTTGTCCTGTCCAGTTAGCCAGCACACCTTCCTTCAAAAAAAACTTCCTCCAGCCTCAGAAATCAAACAACTGCCTTGTAAGTCTGGATTTTCTCAGAGAAGAGCTCTCCCAGTGCTGTGTACAAAGCAAAATACACTTTTATCTCAGTTTGAATAAGACTCTGATACATGTCAAACTCCCCCTGACACAGACCCAGTAACTGGGAAAAATGTTAGCACTGTACACTGGAATACAAACATTTATATTATTCCATTAATGTTAACTGTAGGACAAGCAGATATAGTCTTTTTATGGTGCTGTGTAGCTGATAAATAATTCTTGTTAAATTCTATTTTAAACATTTCTTATGAGTGAAGTTTTGCTTGTATATACTGCAGTCAATTAATATGAGGTTTTGCACTAAATTAAGACAGGGGCTGTATTAGCAACGGAGCTAGGTGTCCTCCTAAATGGCAGTAAATCTCCCAATGAAGAGTTCCCTCTGAAGACCTGCAGAGAGCAACTTCTTGTAGGAAAAACCCTAAGAGAAGGGGTGGGGCTGACCTACTGTGGATAACATCAGGTTTCCTGAATTCATCTGCTTGCTGTCCCTGCAGTGATCGGTTGACAGGTGACCAGTCTGTGTACTGCAGTTTGTTTAATGTGCACTTAACTGTCAAAGAACCTGAATAACTCTCAGGCTGATGAGATACACCCAAGTTCACGAGCACATGTCCTGCCTCCACATTTTCCGGTGCCCAAGCAGCAAAGTGTGAACTGTATGGTATTATTGGGTCATTTCAACTTTCATGAACCAATTAAATCCTTATTGAATTGGCTGCCATTCAAATGTTGTTTTAAAAGTTTATTATTGTGTTCTTTTAATACCTGTGAGTAGGCTTTAGTGGCGCCTTTAGGGGCAGCGGGACAGCTTCTAGCCTCTCTCTCCTTGACCAGATTAGTCACTGTTACTGGTTGTGTGGTGGTGTGTGGTTTAATGAAATGACAATGTAAGAATGAGTGCTGCATGCAAATAAACAGTGTTTTGATTGTTTCCAGTTTACTTTATTCCTAGACACTGAAATTGTCAGTGTATTAGTTATCTTGACATTGAAGCAACATTTTATAATCACTAGTTTCCTACCATCCTGGTGTACCCACGTCCTAGGTGGTTTGTATGGGGAACCCATTTATGAAAGTCAAATCTGTGTTAGAACCAAAACTAATGATTTTATTCATTTTTAATATATACATTTATAAGTAATCAATTGCCCTTTAGGCAAAATATCCCCAAAATGTTTTAAAATGTGATCATTTTTAAAAACGACTGTTCATATTAGTGCTAATGGTCTAACTTACAGTATGGATATTTGTAGTGACAGCATATCAGTCATATGTGTGACACATGTCTGGCCTTTAGCTGGTTCTCTGCCACAAAGCTGTATTCCTGTATGCAGCCTGTCCCTCTAATTTCCACAGGCTGTCATGGCATTAACACATTTATATCATTTCCCCATCTGTTTGCTCTTGTGTGGGTTTCTTTTGCCGTGCCCCTATAGCCGCTCCGTCTCCGTGTCATGTCGGATTCCTGCTCAACATTTCCACCATGCCTGTCAGCTGCAACCTGCCCTTCTTCTTCTGTCACTCTCTTCTTCTCCCTCCTTGTCTCTTACTGCCAGTGAATTAACAGTTCACCTCTCTAACGCACACACACAGTTTGCCCTCCCGAGTTGGAGCTGCCTGTCTCCTGTCTAAGTGTATAAATATTTATCTGCCCTCCTGCCCAGTGTCATCTGTTAATGCCCCTTTGTCTTTGTGAAATGCCATTATCACTTCCTACTCCTGGGGTACCCTCGACCCCAAAGTCACCACAGAACACATCAGTGTGTCAGCGTCACTCCCCTGTGTGCGGGGGTTTTTATCACTTCTGGGGGGACTTGACTTTGAAGTAGCACTGATGGGAGACCTTGGCTTTTGTGAGCACCAACTTCTCAGCTAACTTCCTGTTTATCTCTCCCAGGCAGAGCCAAAGTCTCCTACCCCATTAATTTCTAACGTGCTAATGGTAATGATTTGACTCATAAATAATTCAGGCCAGGTGACTGCGGTTTATGTGAGGGATTGTTTCTAGTGATGTGTCTTTTTCCCCATCTAATTTACAGTTGCTCTTTGTAGATAATCATTGTCATTTAGGCTAATTGCCTCTGCTGTCAATTCTCAGGTGTCTTGTTAGTAGGCTTCACCGTCAATGGCTGCTGACATAATGATTTGTCCTGCCTCAAGCAAGTGTGGGCTAATGACCTGTTACCCCTCTGCTCTCTCCTCTCAGCCTTGTCTACAGTATTGGCCTGAACCAGGGCTGCAGCAGTTTGGGCCCATGACAGTGGAGCTTCTCTCTAGGACAGCCGATGATGATGTTATCATTCGTCTCTTCCGGGTTCAAAACATCACCCGGGTAGGTGGAACCGGTGCGAAATGAAAAATCAGAGCATAGATCAATCAGTGATTGATCCTTGATCAATCCTTAGGAGCCATCTCTTGTCCGAATACATGCAAACTAACACTTAATTTAAATTGTGACTAACAGTAAAAAATGTGTGTGGACACAGTTACAGGTGTACCAGTAAAAGCTTTCTCTTCGCATTCTGTCTGAACACACAGATAACAGCTAGCTATGTCAGCAGCCACACAACCCGGCTGATAATTCTCTGATATCCAATCTATAATTTCACTCATTATTCTGGACAGTTTTGGTCAGAGATCATTTCTATTTCTTAGCTGGTAAAACAGTAACTAAACAGCTACTGTACCATCATGCCGTCATCTTATATAGGGCCAAATACATGTCATACAGTACGGCCATATGGGAAGAATTTATCAAAATGTCAAAATGTACTGTACAGTTGCTGAAATAATTCAGATTGTTCTGGCCGTGATTTGCTTCCATACTGTACAAATCCACCATGAGATAGATAAGAACATGAGGAAGCTTATTTATCTGGTTTAATTTATTGACAGAAGGGTGAGAAATATGTTACACAAAGGGAAACAACCAAAAAGAACTAAAAGGAACTTGCACTGTCTTACTGTACCTGCATGGTAACCATGACAATATGGCTAAAACAAGTCAGCCCACTTTTTTGGAGCCTGAGAGCTTACATCCTACCTAGTTAAGGGCTGCTCTTTAACACTGACACCAACATTCACACCTAATGTTTTTGGACCAAACCTGGTGCAGAAATGCATTCAGAAGTTGTCCTGTGTGAATAGATACATACTAAGCTATATTTTTTCTTGAGGACTTTGTTTGCAGAATGTGATAGCATGAGACTGGAACTGAAAGCATGTGTCTCGTGCCAAGGACAGTGGTCATGAAATTGGCATTCAGTATGAATATATGGCCAGTGTTGTGTTGGGTTTCATTAGATTGCATTGGATTAGATTGCAGATGCTCCAGTTATTGTGTCCACTATATCTCATTATGAGGCAGACATAGCAGTTTTATATGCTATAATATAATTTAATTCAGTATTTGTCTAGCTTTAGAGTAGCAGTATCTAACCTTGACTGAAATCAATTGGATGAGTTTTTTTATGTAGCCTGTTTATTTGTACCACGTTACCCACCCTTGATTTAACGTGACTATGTCATTGCCATCAATCTGCTTTCCTCACAGTAAAGAAACATTAAGATCTAAGTGTAAACTCTAAATCCTTCTCTGTCCTTGATATATCAGTTTGAAAGCTTTACTGTTTAAGTGTTAAATTTTCTTATCAAATGACATTATTAATTTAACATTGGATATGGAATAAAACATTTGCTCAAGTCCTTAACAAAAGACTGTTCCAGTTCTGTACTGTGGGACACATTTCCTGGCCCTCGCTCAGTTCATATGTTTTTAAGGGGGCTAATCAGTCCCAAGTCCTTAAGAAGCAGATTATGTGATGCTGAAGTAAACAGACCCACCACCACCCACACACACTTATTTTTACAATCTGCAATTATTAAAAGAAATTTCTTGCTTTTGACCGTCTCCCATATTTTTGTTTGACTTTTGTGTTACTGAATGTGTTTCTGGATTGTGTGTCTATGTGTACACCTGTGTCTGGGTGTTGTCTGAGCAATTTAGCCTGACTCACACTCCACTTTACACCGTTGCAACACTTCCAGCTCCCATCCTTTGACCCCATTAAATTCTCAGCAGTCTCCTGTAGATGCAGCCAGCAGCTAGTCAAACCAGTGTGTCCTCGTTGTTAAGCCTCCTTTAGTTGTGAAACCCCCTTGCACCCCCTTACCTCCATCACCCTTCTACTCCGAGCCAGCTCCTCAAATATCTTCATGCCAAGTTAGAAACTGTCCCACATGGCCTGTCTGCAGGATCCAGAGGAGACAAACACTACAGAGCAAGACAGCCTCTTTCCCAAGAAGGTATTCCATTGGATGCTGCTCACTAGAAACAGCAAAGATGCTCAGAGTAGTGTCATTGTCAAATAAACTGTAGTACCTAGGTATAATTAGAGTAACACAGGAGACCATTACTGAGACAGCTGATAGCTTCTACGTCACATCAAGTGTTGCTAATGCTTATGAGGTTTTTGACAACAAAAGGCACGATGTAGCAAGGTGGAAATGGGTGGGACCCTGTTTTGTTTGTGTCCCTTCTACAGCTGTGACATCTCACATGTAAGAACAAACTCCTTGGCCCAGTCTACAGAAAAAGAGATTAAGAGAAACAAGGATGTTTTTTCTCTGGCAGTACCAGTAGTTTTCAAGGATGTTTTGAAGTTTGGGTTTGGTAGAGGTCAACAGATAAAACACAGTTTAAAATAGTTTCTTCTCACCTTTTTTTTAGTTTCTGCAAACAGCTGTTCTCATTAAAGCAGCTCAGACAAAGGTAACAACTAGCTGGTTAGCACAGTGGAGCATTGAGCAACATAAAAAGCCAGACAGCTTTCTCAGGAGTTAGTGTAGACTGACAATTGGACTTAACCAACACAGCATACGTTGCTATGCTGCATTGCCCCTTAGCTGCTGGATGTGTGAACTGGAAAGTGCTAACACATTCACAAATAGCAGCTTTAAAAGTTGCTAATACTGTTCTGTTTCTGCGTTGGTTTCAGTATTCAGACATGGCTGTTGCTGCTTGGTAAAAGATGAGATGGGGGTTTTTGTAAACAATGTTTTAGTAATATCTTAAACATGCCTTTAACAGCCCATTAAAAGTTAAGAGTAGAACCTCCACAGTGGAACCTGAGCAGGTCTGAGTATTGACAGAAACCCCTGTGGCTCATCTCCAGATAAATGAGTCTGTGACTTGGAGCATATGAGGTGGTTTTAATGCATATTTGATGGGATATATTGGAAAAAGACAAACCTGTACTCACTTTTTCCTCCCTCTCCACACCTCTTACTCTTTCTAGCTTCAGGAAGGTCAGCTTTTGGTGCGTCACTTCCAGTTCCTGCGCTGGTCTCCGTACCGTGACGTCCCAGACTCCAGAAAAGCCTTCCTCAGCCTTCTGGCTCAGGTTCACAACTGGCAGAGGGAGTGTGGAGAGGGACGCACCGTTGTCCACTGCCTGTGAGCCCACTTAACATCCACCCACGCTGTGCATACTGTACAATATGTGTTTTTAATAGCTAATACTAATTTTCAACTCCAGACCTTTATGTGATGGCCCGCTTTTCAAATCTGACATTTAAAAGTATTTTACATTCAGCAGCTGCTCATGAATTTTATTCTTGCTTGAATGGAAAAGCTTTTGAAGCAGCTTTCAGACTCTGCACTGAAGGCTAGACTGTGTTCTAATAAGATGCCAGACTGCACTCATATTATTCAAATTGCTACTGTTATTTAAACTTGCCATGGTCACACAAAATTTCTTTTTCAGAGCTATTAAAGCTACAGAGGAAAACTAAACCATTTGTGTTATTATATCAGCTGCTTGATGTGAGGTGCCCCCCATTACATTTGTCCCCCGTGTCAGGGCCCTCTGATCTCCTGAGGTCACACTGTGTTAAACACCTCATATCTGATTAAGTCCCCACTCCCGTATTTTAATGAGAACTTTACTCGGATATTCATCTTGAATATCCGCCCCCCCTGAGGCTGTCTGAAATGTTCTTCCACATCTTTATTAGGTCACTCATGTCTTTATGCTTCGTTCTGTGTGTGTTTCTTTGTTCCATCCTTCTGGAAAAGGAATGGCGGTGGCCGGAGCGGGACTTTCTGTGCCTGCACCGTTATCCTGGAAATGATTCGTCACCACAGCATGGTGGATGTGTTCTTTGCTGCGAAAACACTGCGCAACTCTAAGCCAAACATGGTGGAGACAATGGTAAGCAAGCAAGTCTTTAACTCTCTTTACTGTCGCATATCATATCATACTGTACTGTGCTACTGCCTGAGACAGGAACTGTCAGGGATATGGAAGCCTTCTCTGCAGCAGCTCAGGGAATTTACATCAGGCACTCTCCTGAAGTACTGTAAATGTATGTTATTCATAAGTCTACCACATAAAGGTAAATTCCACTGTAAAACACTGTTTTAGCTAAGAGGGAATTACATTTTAGACACAGTATATTGCATACAAAGTGTAAGACAAGCAGAGAGTGGGCGCAAATCATTACAAACTCTTTAAATTTGCATTTATCCCAAAACTGTATGATGCAATTAACGGATTTACAGTGATAATGAACAAAAAAGAGACAGAAGGGGAATATGTTCTGAGATTGATCACAGTTAGCCTGGTTGCAAACTGTGAAATATCACCCACATCGCTGATTTGTTCAGTGATTCAAATCAGAAGTACCAAGGTGAAATAAAGAATGAGAACGCCATTATCCGGTGTAGCTAACTAGCTGCTTAGCTATGTCCATAAAAATAGCAATTTTAATAAAATACATCTAAACTTTTACAAGGCCGACAATTACTGCGGCTACAAAGCTGCATTTTGATTAGGGTCAAAACAGAAAGAAACTAGCCAGCATTTACACACCATGAAGTTAAAGTAAACAGCAGGTCAGTCTGATTATCAAGCACAGTCACAATGCAAATTATGACTTACATTATAGAAAAACAGTTTTTGAGAAATAAACCTCTGTTCTGTGTAGGAGCAGTATCGGTTCTGCTATGACCTGGCCCAGGAGTACCTGGACTGCTTGGAAGTCAGATAGCATCTGTCCCTTTCTTCTTGTCCCTCTCGAAGGAGAACGTCTGACTCCTGGATTCTGCATCCTGGATCCCTGATCCTCACTTCTTAGTCTATGTATACAGCTCTGGTTGTCTTGCTTGCCATGCTTGGATAAAACGTTGTCTGTCATAAAGACTGAATGAGAAAGTGTACTGGACAACTTGTAACATACTGCTGACACCATTTATGCTTTTCTTTGGCACTCTGATCCAATCTGTACTTTTTTGTGCCACTTTATATCTGCCAAACCAGAGGACACCAACAGGAGTGGAGTTCATTTTATATGTGGCCACTGTCAAGGCAGCTGGACTACCTGTTGTACACCTCAACAATGGGATTCAAAGAGCTCTGCTGTATCCTGCCTTACTATGAACACGCATAGCGAAAGGGAGCTATAACTGATGCCAACCACTGGGTGATATTTTGTGTTTGTTCGTAACACTGTAAATGGTGCATTCTGCTATTGGTGAACATCCCCTGTTGTACTGTACTATATTTGAACTTTGTCCCGGATGAGGCTGACAGCTGAAGGTTAACTGATGGTTAAAAGGAAAGAAGTCGGTCACATCTGTACACTAGAGTTGTCTTGGACCTTATTTCTCTTTATTTATTCTTTGTGTATATAGATGTTTTTTTTCCTCCCCCCGATGTTTCTAGATGTTCTCAACGTCTTATCAATGTGCCAATCCATTCTCTCTGTGTCTGTAAATGGGGACCACTTCAGCATCTGCATGCCAGTCCTAAGTGTTTCATTGCAGTATGTGGCCCAAATCTGCTTTAGGGTGGATTCTGTGAAGTGAATCCTTCTGCTAGTTCCGAGAGAGCTCTGTAAGAATAACCACGTGTTGCTGTGAGAATGCGGCGAAGATCTGTCGCTTTCTAAATTTGTATTTATTCAATGTGTCTTATTTTCTAAATAGTATATAAACGGGGAGAAAATAAAATATGTTGTTGCTTAACAGCCAGGCTTTTTGGAGAGGTTTTTGTTTTGTTTTGTTTTTTTACACCTCACCTCTGGTGTCTGATTGGCCACCCCCCCCACCCAGACTCAGAAGGTAATAGGTAGTTGGCTTCATAGCTTATGAGTGAATTACTGAATGAGTGTTCTGGGTGCCGACCCAAGGCCCCTGTGAAGTGAGAAGTTTATCAAACAATTGTGAAGGGACACAAAATCACTACAGAGTGAGGTGCAACAAGCACAGAGGGACACAAAATGACCACAAAGAGGCACAAACCAGCTACAGACCATAAACAAGTCATGTGTGTCCCTCTCACTTTGGGACGGATTTTTGCAATCACAAATAGGAACTATTTCATGATTCAATTTCATATTAAAATATACAGCTATTTATATGTTGTTCATTTATTATTCTGCATAAACAATGTAAATAATAATACTAAAAAACCTAAAGCTTCAAATTTGAGTTAACTAATTTCACTGTGCCCCAGTCTGCAGCTGCCTGCTCACAGAGCTCCAGCTGGATGGATGGCCCGCACTGCGCTCCACAAAGGTATCGAGTTTGTGCTAATGATCCCCCAACACCTCCGCCATCATGCCCACCTCATGCAACCAACAGATATCGATGCTTAAAAAAACACCACCGGTCATTTTCTTGACCTGCATTTTAATTTACTCTTATCATTTAATTAGCAAGTTTAATAGAGTTTTTTATCATTACCAGCAAACAGAGCTTCTAGTAGTCCACCACCTCTTTAATTGGAGAGTCTTGATGATCCATTGATCGAGGGCTCAACACACTTAATCTGCATGTGGCGCTTTACAAGATATGTCACATCTAGTTACTGTGTTTTATGAGTGGCTGATAAACTCTGGTAATTCACAGCTGGACTTTTTTCTGCCCTTCATTTCTTATCAATATTCTGTACTCCTGCTGCCTGTGCACTTTTTAAATGAAAGACAGGATACTAACAGATTAGTTTCTAACATATGCAGAGTAGAGTGCGTAAACAGCTGGACAAATGAACTCCAGGAATAGTCGAGCAACATGATAAAGGTCGAAGGTCATGCTGGGTTGTATTGTGTGGCTGTCAGTGTTGCCTCCAGTGTTCAATTACTCTCGCCCTTTGTATTTCCAAGGCAACAGATCTCCCCTTACTGCGTTTAAAAGATGATGAAAAGCCACATAATGCATGCTAGATGAAAAACGCAATTGCTATTGTGCACAGTGAACAAAAGGACAGGGATGATGATGCTCCCCTCAAAGCATCTGTTTATGTCAGATTACACAAACCTGCAAATTACTCCCCCCCCCCCCCCCGTATGTTGCTGGAGAGAAAACACAGGTCTTCAAATTTGCCTTCCCCTTTCTTTTTGAGGCTGATCTGAATGTTTTAGAGCCCAGCTAGAGCCTCATTGTCGCAGTGACAGTGTCTGTAATTACTGTAGTAGCCATTGTTTCAAACTGAAAGACTGTGTTCAAGCACTGGAACTGCGACTTTTCTAGATGATTGAATGCAATGAAAGACAGAAAGAAGGCTTGGGGGTATCTGGGAATTCCTATCTTGATGACTATATTAATCACAGAACATTTTCTGTATACACACACACACACACACACACACACACTTACAGGGAAATTATATTGATTCCAGACAATCAACAGAAACATTCAGGTTGTTCACTTAGTACATAGAGGTGGTAATATTGCTCAGTAATCTTAAAGGTGGTGACAGTGTTCTAGTGCCAAACTACTCACAGTCACCACTCTCACTACAGCTCCACACAAAGAGTGTGTTATATGGTCTTTTGTTTCATTTTTCATTGTCACATCCTCCCACTAAAGGAGCAATCACAGCAGACTTATGCGTGGCTTTTGATTGCTCAAATTCTCACTCATAAGTTATTAATATCCACATAAAAGAGCAGAGAGGCTGAGCTGTTTGAGCAGACTAAGCTAAAGATAAATAATGCTGGGCTGGCCTCCATGACAGATCTGCTGGCAGAGGGTTACAGTTTGTCTTTAGATGAGTCCAGGAGGCTCTGTAGGACTAGTCTACTCCTTGTCCCTGTTGTGTTACTCCACACCTCTGTTTTTTCCATTTTCTGTAATCAATCAGTAGCTTGTTTTCAGAGGGCCAAATTGGCTGATGGGATGTACACGCATCGGGGAGCAGGCCCTGGCACTGTGGCATCACAAGCCTGTACTGTGAAAAGCTGTGTAAACACAAAGCTCTTTCCCCTGCTGGCTTTGTGTTAAGGCTCCAGCCATGCAATGGGTAGCCACATGAAGCAATTAATATCTCCTTTATTTTGACACAAACTCACCATGGGAGGTGGACTGCAGCCTGGCTGGTGAATAGAGATGTATGTGCGTCTTGCCCAACTGATGGCAGATTCAATTTGAGCTCACTTTATCTCCATGCAGGTTCATCTGATACGACTTTAAATTGCATTAAATTAGATTGCTTTTAGTGGGTATATGGACTGGAAGCTTCTCTCATCTCTTTATATGGTCAAATTGATTGATGTAGCGCAAGGTCTGCAAAACATATTTCATGAAAGTATGGCTGCTGACGATAAAAGCAGTTTTTGACTTTTTTGATTTTTTTTAAGAAAATGTTTCATTCGGTACAACAGTCATCATTGATTATGTCAGGCTTGGATGATAGGACATCCATGAAGACAGCGGTAAATGGCAAATACGTCCTTTGGTAAGAAGGCAGCGCATCACCTGAGGAACCATGTGGCAGTGCTGAAAACATGAGGCAGCCCCCCCTACCACAGTCACATCCACTGAGGCAGGAGGGAAGATGCATGGCGATGGCCCAGGGCGAGCCAATAATGACCCTACTTTATCCCAGTGGCTTGCAGTTCACTGGCCCTGCATCTCCATCTTCCACCTCTCTGTGTGACAATAAGCTCAGAGGGAGGCTGAGGGAGGTCTGAGGTGCTGTGACCTGCACAGTCTTGACCGACACTCTCAGCTTACTTTTGATAAGTCCACAGCTGTCAGAGCACCATGCCCGAACCCATGCGGAAGGATGTGACACTGAGCATTTCTACTCATTTAAAAATGTAATGGAAGTGGGTTTAAAGAAACACCTTTATTTTTACTTTGGCACTTTCACCCTTACAGCAGAAAGTACAGAAGCAAAGAGAAATGCATGGCACCCACCTGGAATGGAAACAGGGTTGTATCAAGGATTTTAGGAAAACTGAGGTTATAGCTCAAAGAAGAGTCTGGTTTTTTTAGTTTTTAGTTATTGAGCTACAGTAGCTGCTTTAAAGTTCCCGCAAAACCTATTTAAATAGTGTATAATTAAATTGAGTTCTATAAAGGAAATTCTTCTGGAGATCAATAACTGCATTTTTTAAATTAAAATAACTGTCCAAGAAATGTGCTGTGGCTCTGTCCAGGAATTTACTGGAAAACTGTGGATCTGTCATATAAAATGTTTTATTACTTAACATACTGAGTTATTGTATTTATTTTATTGCCCTAAAAGTTATCCCGGTTTAAATATACTAAGTCTAAAATAAATAGTATGTTTTTAAGTGTAGAATTTAAAGATGACCAAAACCCCCCAAATTCCTAGAAAAAAATACTGAGGACATGACCACAGTGTCACTGATGCTATCTGTGGCTTATGATACATGTAGATATGCTTCTCTGGTAAATTACATGTAGTATACCAGCAGGTATTACAATGATACAATGGTGCTAATGCTTTTCATATGGCAAATGCATGATATGTTATTCATTATCATACATGTTTAACACACTGCAGCACACTGTAGCCTGCTAATCTGCATTCATTCATTCATTTATTTGTTTTTATTGGGTCTACACGGACAGAAAAAAAGAATAAAACCACCAAACGTCATGGAATTCAAGTTAAATGCTATTGCACATTGAACAATCTTCTCTCACTTATATTTTGTAATTGAACTTTTGGATAAAAATTGAATATAACAAGGTTGATTTATAGGCTACTCCCACATAAATGATTGTAATTATAAGCGCATGCTGGCCTAATTGATGCAAAATGACCCGAGGTGGTGTCAATTGGCTGGGTGATGTCAGAGAAAATAAAGTTTTGCCAAAATAGCGACATTTGGCCTTAGCAGGTAACTTGAGGTCAGATGTGACACCTACCACCTTAGGAGAGAGTCATCATGTCCAAACAGGTTAATTTATTCCATAAAAATGAGCAAAGGTGGAATAACCAAAGACCTGGACGGTGTCAAAAATGAGAGGATTCCTGTTCTGGGAAGGGTGAGCCCACGTTTCTTTAAACTGGTTTATAGCAAAGTGACCCTTAACTGTTTGCAAAATGAACTTAAGTTGTCATGGTTGTATATTGTTATATGTGTAAGTGTTGAGTTGATTTAGTATTCCATGAATATGTTGTGTTAAATATGTTGTTCATTTAAGCTCAAAGCTGCTAAGATGAATATGGGTTATTGTGATGTAATTTATGTAACCGCTCATTTTACATTAAGAGACACTACGTAGTGAAATGTGTCTCGCAAGAACGTGAACACTTACAAGAGCAACATGGAACTTCTCGATTTGGACTGTAGGTGAGCAGATGTCTCTCACGAAGCTCTGCTGAGTTGCATTAAAATTATCTCTGTCTGAAGGCAAGCCAGACATTCAAGGGCAGTTAAGCAACTAAGAATCTCTTTCAAGACAAGCGGCCGAGGTACCTTTATTTATAAATGTCTTCATTTCTTTTATTTCTGTACATGCTAAGCATTGTTTAGCTGCTAATATCCTTGTATTGTTCATTCATGAATATAGTTCTCACGGCGTGACTAAAAGAAGAAGAAGACAATAAACGCCCGTTTCAGAGAATCGACCTGTGTCTGTGTTGTCATGAAAGAGCTACAAAATGTGTGGCTTCTGTTTGGCCACTAGTGCCACTCAGCCATGTCAGGCAGCTGATTGTGTCTGTTCAGATCTTTGTGACGTTTGTTTTGTAAACATTGTGTGCATTAGTGTTTCCTCCTGTCGTGTCTTCTTAGATAATTACCTGAAAGGACATGGTTTAGGTGTTTAATGTTGCTAGCCTTTAATATCTGTGGCTTATTGCACATTTTAAACTGTTTTGTGTAGCTTCTGACTGTTTCAGATTGGGTTTTGGTTTGTGTGCAGCTGCATAGTCTAAATTTTACTGAAGCGTGTATATAACGGTATACAATGTGATGTGTGAAGATGTGGCCCACAGAAGAAAACTCCTATAATATTCCTTTATGAAAGTATTACTCACGTTGTTGTCTAAACAGACGTATTTAATAAATCACATTTGGGCACTTTTGGTAACTTAGCAGTTTCTATTCCTCAGCTTCCTCAGCAGCGTGGGCTGATGAACCCATGCAAGTGGAAAAAATAGCTGCTTTTCTCTCCACGTAATGTTTAAATTGATTCTGGTAGAACTATCTGGACTCAACGTGGACCTCAAGATCAGGTCATGAAACAGGATGTACCTTAAGAAGTTGACGCATAGTCCTTAAACTTTTCTGTATGTTCAGTACAGATCAGTTGAGGGTTCCAGGAGTTCTGGTGCTCCAGGGCAGTTGTCTGCACTGCCCAGTTTGTAATCCAGCTCTGCTCCATTGTCCCTGTAGCCTCAATTACCTGCCAACCTCCTGTGTCTGTTTTGATACTCTGACAGCCTCTTTCATTTTGATGAAGCTGTGCACTGTTATATTATCACATATATTCTTGGGTTAATGTGTATGCCTATTGCTTTTGTCTTGTGTTGTGACATGAGTCTGTCAAAATACCCTTAATTATTTTATTTTATGTAAATGTATGTGTTTGGTTTGTGTTGATAGCCAGGGATATTTTCATTTGTCCTTTAATTTGAAAAGGTGACAAATAGCCCTCTTAAAAACGTAATGGCTAATAAATTTAAGTTGGGTTTTTGTCAGGTCCACTTGGCGCGACCTGCCTCTTTTCTGCCTTTCTCTCCTCTGTTCTCTCGACCTGCGTTTCTTCCGCCTCTTTCTCCTTTGTTCTCTCGACCTGCGGGATTCGCACCTCAGCTGTGTTGCATTCGCAATTAGCGATTTGTTTGTTGGTGCACACAGCTGGGGTGCATCCCGCTGATTGACGCCCTCCTTATTTATACCTCTGGCAGACAGCTCCGCTGTCACCGGAGCATTATACATTTGTAAAAAGGTACGAACAATAACAGGCATACCCCTTAACAGCCGTTAGTTGTGGTACAGTGGGTACGGAAAGTATTCAGACCCCCTTAAATTTTTCACTCTTTGTTATATTGCAGCCATATGCTAAAATCATTTAAGTTCATTTTTTTCCTCATTAATGTACACACAGCACCCCATATTGACAGAAAAACACAGAAT